GCCGTTTTTAACATTTCAAGAGTTTCTGTTCCACTTTTCCCGAGCAAAAAGCAGAATTTCACCGCCGCACGCTGTTCACAAAAATCAGCCATTACAAAAACGACGATCACACAAAACAGTTGTCACTATAAACTCTGCCGAAACTAGTCCTTACCTTCTGAAGCAACGGTAGTTGGCTTACCGACTCAGGAATGTTAGCTCTATGCGCTCATAGCTGCAAAACGTGGTACTACAAAAGCTCTGCCCACAAAAAAATTAGTTCGGTTTCTTTTGGGTACCCCATCGTATTCTACAAGTCAGGTCAAATTTTGGCATTTGCAGATGATATTGATATAATTGGTAGAACACAAAAATCTATGAAAGAAGCTTTTCTTAATTTGGAAAGAGCAGCAAAAAAGATGAATCTACAAATTAACCAAAATAACACAAAGTACATGCCGGTAACCAAGAAAGACTGTGCTAATGGACCTACATGTATTGAAATTGGCTCATATAAATTTGAGGTTGTATGTAGTTTCACTTACCATGGATCAGAAGTTAACTGTAAAAATTATATCAGTGATGAAATAAAAAAGAGTGTACTTGCAGCAAATAAATGTCTCCATGGCCTTAGGAAACACCTGAAATCCCAATTAATACCCAGGAAAACCAAAACTATGATGCCTTTGAGACCTGGCCACTGTCAAGATCGGATGAAAGACTGTTAAGTATATTTGAAAGGAGGATCTTGATATATCTTTGGACCAGGTGAAGAAAATGGAATATGGAGGAAGAGGTATAACCATGAGCTATACAAACTATTTAATGAACCAGACATTGTTGGATTTATAAAGGTGAAAAGGCTTGAATGGGCTGGACATGTAATACGTGCCAGCGAGAATGGAACCATTAAGAAAATGTTTAACACTAAACCAGAAGGAAATAGGAGAGTGGGAAGACCAAAATTAAGATGGATAGAATGTGTGTGGCAGGACATATGAATTTTGGATATAAAGAACTGGAGGAATGTAGGATCGAATGGGGAAGACTGGCAAGCAATCCTGAGGAAGGCCAGGGCTCACAAAGGGCTGTTTTGCCGATGATGATCATGATGATGATGTCCTACCTTTAGAGTGCTATATCACCATTCGGGAACTTTTTGACTGACCCTTGTATGTATTCAGTGGTAAATGTTGCTAGGTCTTGTACCACAGAGCAGATTGTCATAGGATACACAAAAATTGATCTTCATGAAGTCCATATGGAAGAGTTAAAATACATGTATTCCTTTTCTGCTCTAAATCTTTGAGAACAAAGAAGCTGTATATTAGTTAACACATTTTAATGAACTCTGTATGTGTACCCAAGGGTGTTGTGTGACTGTGATCTGCATATCCCTTATGAAGCAGTTATAAGCTCATTGTTGATTTGAGATGTGTAATTTTCAGTGTGCCCAGCAAACTGGCGGCCTGGCAGCAAAACAATGAAACCTGATCCTGATGCCAGCCTTGAATACTTTAGTCACATAGAATAAGTGTTTTCTGTTGGCAGACTAGAGTGAAAGAACTTATTCACTGATGAATGTATGATCAGTTTTAGTTTTGCAATGTAAAATTATGTTACATACATAGCTTTTAAATTGTTTTGCTTTAAAAGTATGCTGTGTAATAATGCTACATCAGAAGGCTTGATCTATCCTTACTTACATGGTTTTGAATTTATGTGGAATGTTTTTGTTTGGTTGGATGTTGAGGGATTATTGTTCAAAATCAATAAAGAATTAAGCAGTAACATGACAGTTCATATTTAGTTTGGTGCAGTCTTTCATGTTTGTGCATTTCAGAAAATATGTCTGAAAGGTCAACGATTAATTCTGTTTTATAACTCCAGTTCATACTCTGTTTGGTGCAGTCTTTCATATATGTGCATGTTAGAATATGAAGATACATATAAAAGTTCACTGATTAAATGGTACATCATATTCTGTGACCATTTTTTTGTTCAATAAATGTATGTTTGAATTTAAAATTGGTGTGAACAGTATTTAATGACATTGTGAAATGCAGTGTATAAGTTATGATACTGTTTTGACTGTATGACAATTCTTGAGTAAAAAATAAACAACCTGAATTCATGAAGTATGCATTGAATATACAGTAACAGTTCTTTAGGTTTTTCTAGTCAGTGTTTAGGTTAGCTGTGACCATTCCACATTTTGATGATTATTACATGCCTGAGAGTAACCCTCCATAGTCTAGGGGTAATGTTCCCACCTCATGACTCAAGGTACACGGGTTCAAACCCAGCGGAGGTCGTGGAATTTTTAATGGCGGAAAAATTCAGGGAACAAGTCCTCCGGGAGGGACTTTAAGCCGTGGGTCCTGTGTTGTAGATTTGTGGCACGTAAAAGATGCTCATGTCTCTAGGAAACCTCTGAGCAAAATTAGGCAAAAAGTTTCCTGCCCAAGTAGTTTCCAATGCCTCCAGTAGATGGGGAAAGCATCGGGTACCACTGCCAGAAGAGGGCCGACCTTGCTGGCAGAAAGGGCCTGATAGCGAGCACCAGTACCAGTAGGGTATGGCAACAGTAGAAATTAAAGGGGGAAGCACAATGGACTAATAACTGGTCTAAGTGCATGGGGAAACCCACCCCCTCTAATAATGAATGAATGAACCCTTACATGATTACTGCAGCTGATACTTCCATACAAAGTGAGATTTTATAATTAGTAAACAAGATTTTCTGTAATAGAATGGGATATCAGTAATTTAAAATATTTCTCCAACTCCTGGAACCTACCCAAATTATAAACTTCTGAAATAATCATTTAACAGGATATTTAAAATATTTGATTATCTTGTTGTAACTCAAAATATCCTAATAACCAGTGCTCTATATGACACTAACATATTCCAGTTCAAAACTAAGCTTTGTTATCAAACGGGAAATCAATAATTGGTTAAAAATCTTTTTAGATCTTACCTTTTTAAACTAATCTAGAGCAATAAAATTCCAGGTGTATCAAAAACCCACTTCCACAGACCTAATTAATCCCCAGTGACTTCTCCCTTTCAAACAAAAAAGGCAGGAATAAGTTATCTAATAAAGTTAACAATTAACCTATTTCCCCAGAAGGAGAGGTAGGAGAAATTACAACTACGAAAGAAATCTTATAAAAAGCAATCTATATTTGCCAGCTATAAGAAAGCCATTCAAACACCTACAGCAGACTGCAAAGCTAGAACAAAACTGGGCCATCTGTACATACTTCAACAAAGAAAGCAGCTCAGATTCCAGACTATTCAAAACAATAAAAAACTACCTGTGGGACTAACAACTTGAAAAAATGTAAAACCTGAAACCACAGTGTCTAAACATACAGTAACAGCAGTATATACCAACTTTTATATCAGGAATGCCCCTCCCCCACAATATTGACAAACCAGGAGAACCTTTAAAACCAGATTTAATGTACATATTTATGCTATTAAAACAAATTATTCAAAATTCAGTCAACACATTCTAGAAACAGGATACCTATATGTCCTTCAAAACACACTTCACAAATACTCCATATAAAAAAGGAGCTTACTTTATTTACAAAATATGCTGACAGTAACCACCCTAATGACCTACTTTCTGAAAAGAAGATCCAGTACAAGACATTACCAGTTTCTTAACAACTACCCCATCTAGAAGAAATATTACTCCCCACTACCTAACCTTTCCTATCAGTCAGCACTTGCATACATGCTACACTGCCACAAGAACTTCCATCCCATTATATCAATACTGCAGTCTTAGTGCCTAAAATATGACACCATCCACTCACAGTAACAATATAACAAAACAGTTTTATTCACCCACACAAGCAACCCTTAACATCTCTTATACAAACTTTTTAGGTTACTAATTTTGTTACTCCTTCAGCCCATGACTTAAAAATCTTCCTTATTCCTGTATGTAAATTCTTACCTGTTCATTACAAAGTTACCTTTGAATTAAAGACATGCCAGCTCTTATACACATTGTTTTATGTTTCAAAATAACCCCACTAAAAAAATAGCACATGCAATTTTGTTATAAGACAGGCACTGTTTATTAACATATTGTGGACCGGCGATTTAAATACTTGAATCCCCCCAGGGCCGCTATTATTAAACCTACTATCCTAACTTGTGCACTGTTCACTTTAAAAATTAATATAAAATCTCCTAATTAATTTTATGAACTAAAATTATTGGAGAACACTTACCAATGCTCTTAGAAGTGCTTGAGGATGTGATATTTCTGGAAACATTCCCCTTTATGAAGTGGCATTACACAGAACACGGCATTGCCTAGAAGGATGCTTCCCCTTGGAATGTTCACTCTTCACAATTTTCACGAGGGTATGTTTCCGCATATCACCTGAGAGTCGCCCTGGGGGATCCACATTAGGCCTCCGTGGGGTGGGAGTTGATGGGCCAAGGCGAACTAAGTGTGTGTCTGACGCTGGTTCAGCCACCACCCTCTCGTCTGTAGCCCAGGCCTTTGCCACATTCATCAGAAATGCTTTGTATTTCAATTTTGAATTAGGGTTTAGATTTTTGTGATATTTTTAGATCTTTTACTGTCCCCGCAATGTTATTACCCCCATTATCGTCAGAGCTACTGTCACTTTTACTGTCTGTGGCCACAATTCTTTGTTCTCCTGTCACTGCTGCTCTCTGAATCATTACTATGCGTCTCACAAGCCAGGTCAGCTAGCTCATTGGGGAAGAATTTGTCCTTGTCCATACCCCACCACTAACTACTGGCTGGTACATACAGTTCGAAGAGCAGCAAAGCATTTTTGTTTATAGTGGCTCAAGAAAACAGCGGGATCAAGCAAACATTCCAGAGTTTTATTACGCCATTGCATGCAACTTGGGTGGCGCCAGAGCAAGGTACAGTGTGTTACAACCTAATGTGTCCTAAAATGATATCATGCAACTGGTCCACCACGTTTAAAGGCCAAAAGCATGATATCATGCGACCAGTCCTCAATGTGTTAAGACAGTTTTGTCAGATCTGATTTGAAGGTCTGTATTTCAGCATCCTGTTGCAAACCTTTAATTAAACATCTATATATCCACAGTCCGTCAATAATGCAACAATTGTTTATTCACCATTTAAAAATTAACACAACATGTTAAATTTTAATGGATTTTAATTAATTATTTATGTTATTTTTTAGTGGACTGCGATGCACAGTTTTAGTGCACATCAGAGCAGTGTTAACAGTTTGGATGCATTAAGTCACCTGAAGATGGCCCATCTATGGCCAAAAAATGTAATTGTTAAATGGTGAATAAACAATTGTTGCATTATTGACGGACTGTGGATATATAGACGTTTAACTGATATGTAGGATTTGAGGCTCTCACAGCGGTGCCAATTTAGTGAACTGTCTTCTGGGATGTAATGCTGGGTAGTCCAGTGAAAGTCAACCGATGAACATATTGCCTCATTCAGGGGTGAATAAGCCAAGCAAGATTTCAGTGTGAAAGCAGGTGGAGAGCCTGCATTAGTTGACTCAGTGGACTGCACAGCATTATATTCCAGAAGACAGTAGTCTTCAGATCTGACATAATTTATTACTTTCCATATTTTTACCCATTTGTGTATTATTATATACTTACGTAGGTCATACCGAAAGTCATGAGCAACTTTTCTTTTTGAATGCAACCTGGGAACAGCAGATGAAAGAGAGTATGGTGGTAGGTGGAACCAGCTGTTGTGTTAACCTTGAGTGTCTTGTGATGTCAATAGCTTGCATCACATGACCAGTATCACTCATAATAAAATGGCTGACAACGATATGTCTTTCACCAGCGTGCTGTCATCGAATTTCTTGTGAAAGAGAAAATCCATGCTGCAGAAATTCACCAGAGACTTCAGCGTGCTTATGGAAGTGTGTATGGGTGCGAGCAGTGTTCGAAGATGGGTGAAAAATTTAAAAATGGGAACACCATCAAAGATGAGCCTCGGAGCGGTCATCCTCGAACATCCTCAACTGAATGCAGCAAGGAAAGAGCGAATGAGATCATTCAAGATGACAGACGTGTGACTGTGGACACAATAGCCTGAAAACTTGAAATAGGGCACAGTGCAGTACAGGAGATGATTGAAAGCTTGGGCTATAGGAAAGTTTGTGCTCGTTGGGTCCCGCGGTTATTGACTGAAGACCACAAAGGTCAGCGAAAAGATGGGGTGGGAAGTTCTTCCACCCCCCACCCCTCCCCCGACTACCATCTTTTCAGATTTGTGAAGGATCAGCTGCATGGACAACGTTTTGAGACAAGAGGGAGGGAATTCAGAAAGCAGTGCATCAGTGTCTTTGGATGGCTGGAACGGAATTTTACAGAAGGGGAATTTTCAAACTCCCAGAATGCTGGGAGAAATGTGTACAAAGAAGTGGCAATTATGTGGAAAAATAAAGAAAGGTCTGTAGATTGAGGTGGTGTATTTGGTTTGTCAATAATAAATCATGTTACTTTACAAAAAATTGTTGCTCATGACTTTCAGTACGACCCTCGTATTATTCCTTGCATCAGAGGGTAGTTTTTACAGTGTGTTTTGGTGCTTGATGACTGCTTTGTTGTTGAAGTGTAGCATGATAAAAAAAAAGGTAAAGCTCTCTAAGTAATGGCATGAAGGCTCACAGGGTTGTGAGATGTCTAGGCTCCATTTTCTCTAGACTGTTGGCTCACAGGTGGCGGTAAGGTTGTCAACCTTATGCACCTGCTGCCCTTTACGCCCCAGGAAGATTCCTGGTACTCATCTGTGTTAGAGGCTGATTCGATCCCAGGGCCATAGTATGGTTGGAAGGATTAGGTACATTGAAAAAATCCACCTCATCAGGACCCAAACCCACGACATGGCTTGTAGCATAGTGCCTCAACCAACTACATTACCACATGCCCCGTGAAATGTAGCGTGATATGAAAATAAACTTATTCCAACATAGTTTGGGTGATGGCTAATCCCAAAACCTTAAATGGAAAGTCAACAAAAATGATGTTTATAAAATCATTCCCATCTCATGTTCCCTGTACAGGGTGCTATCATAATTGAAGGACACTCTTTCTGAGGCCATTCTGAGTGAAAAATATTAAATATCAACAA